TGTTCAGGAGTATGTAAGACTCCATGGTTTCCCTCGGTCCATCGTGTCTGATCGGGATCCCCTATTCATGAGTTCATTTTGGAACGAACTTTTTCGCTTACAGGGGACCGAACTCAAGCCTAGCACTGCATATCATCCGCAAACGGATGGGCAATCAGAGGTGGTAAATCGTAGCCTCGAGATGTATCTCAGAGCCTTTTCTGGAGATTACCCAACCAAGTGGTCACGAGCGCTCCCATGGGCTGAATTCTGGTACAATACTAGTGTTCACACCTCGACCGGATTCTCCCCTTTTCAAGTTGTGTATGGCAGACCACCTCCTCCATTAGTGGGCTACTCCGAAGGTGCCACCGCTGTTGCACGACTAGACGATGCGCTTTTGGCTCGTACTGATCTTATGGCTACGCTCAAGACAAATCTACAACGAGCTCAGGAAAGAATGCAGCTTCAAGCTAATCGGCACCGTCGTGACAAGGAGTTTAATGTTGATGATTGGGTTTATGTCAAATTACAACCCTACAGACAGGGGTCTGCAGCCCAACACCATAGTCACAAACTTGCTAAGCGTTATTATGGTCCTTTTCCCATCATTGCACGCATCGGGAAGGTCGCTTACAAATTATCATTACCGGCAACCTCACGTATCCATCCAGTGTTCCATGTCTCATTGTTAAAGTTCTGTCCAAATCCATCTATAGTCACACCAGCGCTTCCCCCACCATCTGCGGATCAGTTTCCTGTTCCGCTACGCATACTGGATCAACGGGTTGTTAAGGAGGATAAAAAGAAGCGACTACAAGTTCTTGTTCAGTGGGATCGTACGTCGCCTGCGGAAGCCACTTGGGAATTTTGGGACATCTTCCATGCATCTTTCCCGACCTTTCGCCTTGAGGACAAGGCTTCTTTCGATGGGGCGGGTAATGTTACGCAACATGCTACAGGTGGCGAGAGGGCCAAGAGACAAGTCTCAATTCCAGTTAAACTTCGTGACTATGTGTGCAGCTAAGTCTCCTAATTTTCAGGCCATGCAGACTAATTCTTTGCCATTTTATTTCTGTTGTAGTTAGTATAGGAAGTGCCAAATAAATAGTAGACTTTTAAGGGATCAGTTGTATGAGAATCACTATATATATTGTCGTTAATAAAAGTAAGGGCATCACCCTGAATTTTGCAATCTTCTCTGTCTGAATTCTTAATACTCTGCTCCCCCTCTATATTTCTTTTCTGGAGGTTCCACCCTCATTAGTGGAATATTTCACAAACATAGACACAAACCACACAAATCATCCCAACATTAAGTTTCAATTATTATTATGAAAAATATTAGGACTAAACGATGGCATAAAATTTATATATATTATATACAATATAAAATACAGAATCAGTATCACACTAGGCATTATTATATTTATACAACATTCATTATAATATTATCTCAACCATCGTATCTCATCATCATCCACAATCATCCTGGCACTAAAACCTCATCATCATAATTAACATTTATCAACAAAGTATTCATTAGGCTAATCAGATTCCATAATCTACACCAGTAGAACACCCAAACTCCATTCTGCTCATTTTGAAACTCAACCCGACAAAACAACATATAAATATAGTATAAACACACAAAGATCCATCTCACTAAGATACCAAAAACTTGCCATTTTGTGCTCATTCCTTCACTAACCCATCATTATCTAATTAGTATATTATTATAATTATAATAATAACAATAATAGCTAATCTCATCTTTAACCATTATCATAATATCAATATCCACATCAATAATAAGCTTCATCATAACTCAAGCTTTAATATAGAGAAATGAGTCTCACCCATGGATTCAAAGCCACGCCTCCACACACGCACTAACACCATGCTCACCGGGAGAGGGGTACCGCCGGCTACCAAGCTACACTGATCAGCCACCGAACTGCCAAGCTTAGCTGGAAACAGGGGATGCCGCCGATGGGTACTGCTTCGTTCAGCTGCTGCCTCGGAACGGTTGAAGTGTTTTGTTGATGACAAGATGAAGAATCATTCATCTATAGTTAATATTTGAAAAATAAAAATTATTAAAACACCAAATGTTGGGACTTACAACTTGGAGTTGAGATTTGAAGACTTGTGGAGTTAAAATTATTAATTATTATAATATTTATATATAATACCAGCATTTTGTACGCGTGATGCACGAAAATTTATGTCTAACATTACAAAATTGATAAATGCAAATAATTACAAATTATAGTTCAAATTATATTTCGCAATTCCTTAAAGTAGTAAATTTTAATCATCGTATTTGAAAATTATAGAGATAAACAAAATTTATTTTTTTTTATTAATAATATAAACAATTTTGATATAATTTATATTTTGTTTTTACAATAATTAAATAATATATCTATAATTATAATCTAGTACCTGGTCACATATATTGGTACGTGTGTGTATCTTTATATATATACACACATATATAATTTACTATTCATAGAAATTTAATTAAAATATAATCAACAATTAAAGTAATTATATAATTATTTTAATAAAATGATAATTAAAGAATAGGAAAAAGATATCATAGTTAATTTTATATATATATATATATATATATATATATATATATATATATATATATATATATATATATATATATATATATATATATATATAGGTGTATGATAATAATGATAGAATTATGAAATTTTTAGAATTAAATAGCAACAGTGTAATAACGGTATAATGGTATTTTAGTCTAACAAGAATGTAGTACGGACAATTTTATTCATTATATTTGAAGTGTGCAACATTTAATAAAAAGTGTATACCTTTATTACCATACAAATGTGAATATAGACATAAATGTGACTATAGCTTAGTGGCTAAAGCTCTTAGTTTATAACCAAATAAGTAAAGGTTCAAACCTCACCTTAAACATTTAATATAATATATACCTATTATTATTAAAAAAATAATAATAAAGCAGAAAACCGATTGGTTTTCCGGTTCGGGTTTAGGGTACCGAACCGATCGGTTTCCTCAAACCAAGAACCGATCGGTTCTTCGGTTTGAGGCCGAACCAAACCAAACTGGTTTGGTTCGGTTCGGTTCGGGTAATCCGAACCGAAATGCCCAGCCCTAGTAGCGACATATTAGGGTCGTCAGTCTTCGAACTTCCAAGACTTTATTGTACTAGTTAAAAGGAGAAAGACGGGTCGGGTTGGGTAACTCGACCCGAATAAAATATGGGTTAAACTATCTAACCCATGTTAGGGTCTTTCGGTCTTCCAACTACTAAGGCTTTACTGTACTGTTAAAAACAAAACCGCCGGGCTAGCTTTTGCCTGTATTTAATTTTAGAAAACAATTTTTAAAAATGTTTTTTTACAGAATTTATAATTTATTTAATTCTTATAAACTTATAATTAATAAATTCACACAATCACACTTACACTTTAATTGTAGACTTGTAGTTTTGTATTTAAAGGACAAAATTAATACATAAAAAAAGTAAGCATTCATGTATTATAGGAGTATTCACAGAATCACAGTAACACTAATACAATATTACAGTCAGTCAACAACAACCGAATCATATTAGGGTTTAGGATTTAAATAAATAAAAAGTTTTAAAAAAAATAAAAATAAAAAAGATATTTTAAAAGTCACGTCTAGGTTGGAAAGAATTAACTTAATTTAGATTCAATTGAACAATTTTACAGGTTAATGAAATTTTTTTTACTTGCACTATCCAAATGACTTAAGGGAGCCAATTTGATCATTTTTCTTAGAGTTAATTACCGATTTGGTCCCTCGACTATGAGGATTTCACCAATTTGGTCATCAACTATCAAAATTCCTCAATTTGGTCCCCGACTATGGCATTTTTATCCGATTTGGTCCTAAAGTCAAACAACCTTGTTTAAAGCAATAAACATGAGGACATTTTTGTAATTGCACATTGTTTCCTTTCTCGACTGTCTAAGTTAATTCCACGCTTTGCCTTATTTCAGACAAACAAAACCTTCTAATTGTTGAATTCCCAAATACGAAACCCTAATTGCACAACTCCAGTTGAAAATTTGAGCAATGAATTGAGAAATCATTTGTCTTTCAAGCAACAACTATAACCCTACATCAGTGGGCGAGCAGAGCATCGACGCGTGCGGATCTACGGTGACTTCTGGTTTCAGCTAGCTCCTTTCCAGCGACCTCTCACCCTCGCTCCTCACTCGTCGACGACGTAGACTGTAGATTGGCAAAGTGTTGACCAGTGGTAGCAGCAAGGCACGACGATAGACCTTTGTCTCTCTCTCCCTCACATATCCCTCTAATCTCAAAAGCAACTCTGGCGATGTCATTTTTCCAGAGAAGCAGAGCAGGTCAGTGGCGAGGAACGGTCTTCATCTCTCGCTTCCTATCACAGCGGTAGTCTTGGAGGAGCTCCGGCAGTAGCAGCTCCCACATTCTACCTTCATTCCCCTCTCTTGGGTAACCTTGCAGTAGCAGTTGGAGGTAGCGTTGACTGGAGTGCAGCAATAGCGGAACGTTCTGGCGGCAACCGCGAAGTTGTGGATGGTGGTGGTGTTGGACGATGTAGTTGAGAGGTGATCGGCTATGGTGTTGAGTTGATGTTGAGAATGAAGGGTGACGGCTAGTGAAGAAATGACATGTTGGCGTTGATGATGATGATGTTGGCTGGAAATTTGAGATGATAATAATAATTTGGATTGAATATGATAATGTAATAATAATTCTTTTTAATAATCCCCAAATTGCCATTTATGTTTGACTGACAAATAACACTTAGAATCAAATCAGGTAAAAATATCATAGTCGAAGATCAAATTGAGAAATTTTGATAGTCGATAACCAAATTGGTGAAATCCTCATAATCGAGGGATCAAATCGGTAATTAACTTTTTTTCTTAAATTAAAACTTAACCGTTTTATACGGTTTCCATTTTACTGGGCTAGATTTGGATAATCCGAACCCAAATGCCCAATCCTAATACAACCCGTACTTTGATTTGACAACAGGAAATGATCCAGTTGGAAATGGAAAAATTATAGGAGGCTCAAGTGTCTGTGACTCTGTGTTTCCATTCTAATCGGGAAGTCCCTCTTGTAGCAAACAGCAGGGATTATATAAAGATCAATACAGACAAACAAACCCGTATTTGCACGTATGGTTTAATCATAGTAAGAGAGAGAGAGATGCATAGCTCGTTCACCATAACACGATACAGACAAGAAAAACCCTAGAATTTTACTTCAAAGTTCAAACACTCTCTTATATCTTATACATGTGTGCAAGAGTGGAGAGACGCATTTTGATGTTCTTCTGTACTGAAAAGTTCCACTTTAGCAACTATCTTACATTTATCCCTACTGCAAATGTGACCATTCAGAGATGAGTTCTTTGACTGCAACATTGTCCCCGAGCTCGTTCCAGCTTCGATTAGCTTTCAATTGTAAAAAATCGTCAACCGTGTTGGTAGGATGCGTGTTGGGAAGAAGGATTGCAATAGACTGCATTTACTTTCTATTGGAGGGCATACTCACGCGAGAAACCGTAATTGGCTGGAAAGGTGCAGTGTTTGGTTAATTCGATTTCTCCAGTGGATGGATTCGCTGGATGGTCTGGAACTGATGGAGCTGAAACATCAAGTGAGGCTCCGCAGAAACAATCTGTCCCAGGTAAGCCGTGTCATTTGACTTCCTGCCTCTGCGTGAGTGTGTATGTTCATATATGAATACACAATTACACACTCTATTTTGATGTGTATTAAACTTTGCATAATGACGTTTTAATTGATTTAGATAATTGCATCACTTCGACATGACGCAACATGACGCAAGTGCTTATTAAATTAGAGGGGTATTTGTCTTCTGCCTTGTACTTATATCTTTAGATTGATTGAAATTTTGACATTACATTAGCAAAATGGAAAAAGTGAAAAGATGCTTCATTGGTTCGTTCTATCATGAATTAGTAACAGTTCTGGAGTACTTTCAGGGTTTGTGGGAGCAGGAGTACTTAGCATTATCCTAGTGGCTGGGATTATCTTTGCTGCTTTATCAATAAGCAAACGTAGCACGTCCAGTAAGCAATGTTTATACTTTAATGAATATGAGCATTAAGAACATTACTTTTCACATTTAAGTTTCCTCTTTGTCATAAACTTGTACTCTGTAGTATTTTATATTGGTCTCCATTGTTACTATGCCTTTAAACTAGTTAGGTTACCATTTTCCATTAATTTTACAGCGTTCAATAGCATGTCCCTACTTTTCCTACAAATACTCAATTGCATTTGCTGTCTGTCAGTGCAATACTCTGTCTAGTAGATGTTTGAATTGCGAGCTTATTACACAGGATTGAAGCAGCATATGGACCCTTTAACAACCCAACAAGAAATGTCAGTCATTGGTGATAATAATCACAATGATAGAGTTGAATCAGAAAAAGATGCCCTCAAGAATGAAATGCAAGATACTGACAATCCAAACAGCAAGGCAGGTACAGACAATTATCCCTTTTTACATCCAACAAAGTGTGAAGATGTTGGAAATAAACTTAATAACAGTAGCAATGCGAGGTACACATTCAGTAATAATTACACAATTAGCAATGTCTCCACTAAACATGGTTTTCATAATGAAACAGTGAATGATAACACTTTATTTGCAACTGAAGCCATATTTCAATCACTTGATGCTGGAGTTTCGGCAAAATCTTTCACTCACTAAACCTTTGATAGTAAAGAAGTCAGTTTTGCTGCTGAAAAATCATTATTAATAAATGAACAATATGGGGAGAACTTTGATGACACCAATACAACTTGTGTACCAGCTCCTAGCCCCAGTTCAACAAATCAAAGCATGGATCACAGGGAAGGACTGTCTGATTTAGGAGAAACAAGAGACTCTGTCTCTTCATTTGATTCACCAACTGCTGAATCTGTAACCTTTAATCTCTCAGTAAATGCATAGTCTGACACTACTTTAGAACCTATTATTACAAGTGATCAGTATTTAGAGGCTAAAAGCTTAGTTTCTACTGAGAATGTTGATACGAGCAATATGCTAGAGTTTCCAGCTGAAGGAGACGAGTTATTTCTAGAAGTCCATAGTGCAAACAGAGATGAATTATCAAGAACAGTGTTGGAGGTCACTGGTGTGGATCTTTCTGTTAAGAAACAAAATGAAAATGTTCATAAGGATATCAATGGAAGCAGATCAAGCTATGAGTCAGTAAATTCTGAAGCTATCTTTATCTCTGCCGGCATACCTGCTCCATCTTCTGTCCCTTCAGCTCTGCAGTCACTTCCAGTAAAGGTGCTAGTTCCTGCTGTCATTGATCAAGTCCAGGGTCAGGCACTAGCTGCGTTGCAAGTTTTGAAGGTACTTTTGTTTTCATTTATTTAAACTTTGCAAAAATGTTGGTTAGTTTTGAGCTCAATCTAATCTCATTCTGCTGAGAATATCTGGATTGAAATGGATGCACACAAAGTTAAAATAAATTTTGTTATCCCTGCGACCCTGGCTTTTCCACCATTAATTATTTATAGGTATCAAGATTGTCACTAGTCTAGTTAAAGAAGCCTAATTGCTAACTAAGGTACATATATTCCTGGAGTGGTCAAGATCATTGTGCAAATATGTGTAATTGAACCTGTTAATTTGATATCTTTACATTTTAGGTTATTGAGGCTGATGTTCAAACTGGAAACCTTTGTACTCGCCGTGAATATGCTCACTATGGAGTAGTTAGAATCCTTTGGAGAATTAGTTACAGTCATAAGTTGGTTCCTAAGTTTGTGTTCTTTTCATGTGTATATAAACTCTGTAAATCTCTACTAATTCATTCATTCATTCAATACACATTTTATAAACTCATCTGGTATCAGCCTAACTTTCGATCTCATGGCCGATGAACGTAACAAACCTCCTCCCCCGGCCGCTGATGCTCCTCAAGACTCCACCAGCCGTGCCGTCACGGCTGTCACAATCCCGGAATCACGTTCCCCAAATATGCTACAGCAAGCGCATCACTACGTGTCCATCAAGCTGACTGCCACGAACTATCTGTTCTGGAGGGCGCAGCTAGTCCCGTTTCTACGTGGACAAAACCTTTATTGTTTTGTTGATGGCACCAATGCTTGCCCACTGGTTAGTTGCATCAAGCAGTGCTCTATCAAGGTATACACATTTTAAAACAGACTATCATGTTGGTAGTATTGATACTGTATTTGAAGCTGGTGAAGATGTGCACGAAATATCTGGCTGAATTGCTTACAAGTTATCCTGATTTCTTGTAGGACCACTGTCTCTAAGGTCTATCCTGCAATGTATATTGAGAATGTCACTGAACTTGCCTTTGACGATATTACAACTGAAGATCCTGACTTCCCTTGCATACAAGGTCAAGCCTAAGACCTGTGATCTTCTAAGTAGAAGTTTTTGCTGTATTCAACCAATTATATTCCTCTAGTTTCTGAAGATCTGGACATTTCAGGCTTGGCTAAAGCTGGTCTCATCTCCAGCAAGCTGTCAAGATGTGACACACAGTCATCTTCAGATGGAGACCAAAGTCCCCTCTTCTTCTCTCCTGACAGGTAAGTACCACATGAGATGTTTTGTTATCATGCTGATGACTTTCTTATGAAGTACTAATTGTCTATTTATGCGAAAATCACATTCACGACTGGTTTGAGAGCTCTTACCTGTCCCATTGGGATTTTTGTCAACTTGCAAATAGATTATAACCTCCATGACCTCAAGCATTGCTATTGTTCTTGTATGATTTCCAGATTCATATTCCTTTTATAACTAATCAATGTTCTGAATATTGTTATTGTCTTAATCATGTATTTTAGTGCCCTGGGTTTGAGACCAAATGACATTTTCATTGGCTTCTTATCTAATGCACACAAAACTTTGCTGCAGTCCTTTGTCACGCTAAGATCTTGTCAGTTGGAAGATTGCCCTAGACAAAAGACAGCTTCCTCTGGTTGACCAAAAGGTTGCATTTGCACACATTCACAAGTTTATTCATTTCATTGTGCCTGGACATGTATATAAATGACTAATAAGTTCAAGTGTAAACATTTATTTTTGTTCTTTTTTTTTCCTCCCTCGGGTAGACCTTGAGGCAACTCTCAGGGTTCATAGATATTAACAAGATCCATCCAGATGCATGGCCTGCTTTGGTAGCAGACTTGGCATCAGCGGAATAGGGAATAATAGCCCTTGCATTTGTTGAGTCATGTCCTACTTTAATCATTACATTTGTTTCTTATATATGTGCATGAGGATGTCTTATTCTTATTGTTGGCATATTAAAAGTCTTGGGCAGCTCACTAGCCTTAGTAATTAAATGGGCAGCTCACAAGCCTCAGTAATTAAAGCCTTGGGGAGATGAGTAGTTTCTTTATTTATTATTGTTTACTTTTGTAGACCTATATATAGACTTGTAACTTGAAGTTAGACATAATACAAGAACCCTTTCTAGCTTTTAACATGGTATCAGAGCCTCTTTTTTGGGGCTTGAAATTTCTCTCAAACACCTACAGCCGATGAACGGTGGTGACTGTTCATCATCCCTTTTCCGACAAAATTTTCCAACTCAGTTTGTCCCTTTTCTGCGATTATATGGTGATTTTCTCATATTTTTCTGAAAGCTATGGCAAAACATGAGAGTTTAAACATCATGCTGAAAGTTGCAAGGACCAACTTGTCTCATACTGCTCTTGCATTAAAATCTGATTCATCTTGGATTCTTGATTCTGGAGCCACTGATCACATTTCTGGTAATCTCTCATTTTTCTCTAATATTGAGTTCTCATATTCTCTTCCCGATGTCACATTTGGTGATGGATCAAAAGGAAAAGCTATAGGAATTGGAAAAGTCACCATTCATTCTTTGTCTTTATCCAATGTCCTTTACATTCCTGGTTGCCATTTCAATTTGATTTCAGTTAATCAACTTACTCACTCACTTAATTGCCTTGTCACCTTTTCTTCTGATTCGGTGGTTATTCAGAACCGTCAAACAAAAGGGACAATTGGTGTAGGATATGAATCACGAGGTCTATACCATTTTTCATGTTCTGCCAATACCAAAACAGCTTGCTCGGCTTCTATTTCACCCCTTCTTAACCATTGTCGTTTAGGACATCCTGACCTCAATAAATTAAAACAACTGGTTCCTGGATTGTCGAATTTAAAAACCATAGAGTGTGAATCATGTCAGCTTGGGAAGCACTCAAGGGCTTCATATCCTAGTAGAGTGAATAAGAGGGCCAATACCCCATTTCCTTTAGTTCACTCTAATGTTTTGGGACCGTGTCGAGTTTCATCCACTTTGGGTTTCTCATATTTTGTTGTCTTCATTGATGATTTCTCTCGATGCACTTGGGTTTTTCTAATGAAGAACCGCTTTGAATTATTTGATGTGTTTCAAAAATTCTACAATGAAATTGTGAATCAATTTGGGGCATCTCTCAAAATCTTACGCAGTGATAATGCAAGAGAATATTTTTCTGACCCTTTCACTTCTTTCTTTTCCTCAAATGGAATACTTCATGAATCATCATGTGCTAGAACTCCTCAACAAAATGGAGTTGCTGAACGAAAAATTCGTCATCTTGTTGAAACAGCTCGTACTTTGCTTATTCATAACAAGGTACCTAAGAATTTTTGGGGGCATGCTATACTTCACTCTTGCTATCTCATAAATCGTATGCCTTCCTCTGTTTTGCAAGGAAAAATTCGTCTTCATATCTTACGTCCACAGGAACCTCTCCATAAGCTTCCATTGCGAATCTTTGGGTGTACTTGCTTTGTTCATAATACTTCTCCAGGGCGTGATAAACTTGATGCCAAGGCAATAAAATGTGTTTTCCTTGGGTATTCTCGCCTCCAAAAAGGCTTTAAGTGTTACTGTTCTAGAACGCACGGGTTTTATACCTCTTCCGATGTTACATTTTTTGAAACAACACCTTTTTTCTCTTCCGCCTCCGTTGAGTCTAATTTCCTAGGGGAACCCATTGAAATCACAAAAATTCTCCCTGTTCCTACTTTCTCAGAACATATATCTCCCACTGTTCCTGAAAGGACCATACCTATTCCTGAAAGAACTATTCCAACTCCAACCATTCAAGAGGAAGGACATATTCCACCGTTGTTGTACACCTACCAACGACGCAATCGTCAAGATTCCCAAGAGGATAGACATCCAGTTGAGTCATGTTCTACATCATTGTTACCCAATGATGCTGCCCAAAACACCACGACAGACTCTCCCATTGCCAGTCGGGTAGGTAAAAGATCCACTCGAAATCCTTACCCTATATATAAGTTCCTTTCACAAAAACGTCTGTCTCCATCATATTGTGCCTTCATTGCTAGTTTGTCAACTGCTTTTGTTCCAAACAATGTCAAGGAGGCATTAACTAATCCAGAGTGGACTCAAGCAATGGTTGATGAAATGAATGCACTACATTCTTCCGGGACTTGGGAGTTAGTACCTTTACCTCCTGGTAAAACTGTGGTTGGTTGTAGATGGGTGTATAATGTGAAGGTTGGTCCAGATGGACAAGTTGATAGACTCAAAGCTCGACTTGTGGCTAAAGGATACACACAAGTTTTTGGCATTGACTACACGGATACCTTCCCACCGGTGGCCAAGATCACTTCTATCCGCCTCTTACTCTCAATGGCAGCCAACCATCACTGGCCATTGTATCAGTTGGATATAAAGAATGCCTTACATGGGGATCTGAATGAGGAAGTGTATATGGAGCAGCCACCTGGATTTGTGGCTAAGACAGGAGCTAATCTTGTTTGTCGTCTTAAGCGCTCTCTCTATGGGTTGAAGCAATCTCCACGTGCCTGGTTTGGGAGATTTAGAGATGTGATCCAACAATTTGGCATGATTCAAAGCAAGGCTAACCATTCTGTTTTCTATAAACATGTACTTGGAAAACGTTTATATCTTGTGGTTTATGTTGATGATATTGTCATTACAGGGAATGATAGTGAAGGAATAAATCAGCTTAAGAAACATTTGTTTCAACATTTCGAGACAAAGGATCTTGGAAAATTGAAATATTTTCTTGGTATTGAAGTTGCTCAATCCAAACAAGGTATCTATGTGTCTCAACGAAAATATGTTTTGGATATTCTTGAAGAAACATGAATGACAAATTGCAAACCAGTTGACACACCCATGGATCCAAATGTCAAACTTCTTCCAAGACAGGGGGAGCTCCTATCCAATTCAAGTAAGTATCGGAGATTAGTTGGCAAGCTATTGTACTTGACTATCACTCGACCAGACATCTCCTTTGCTGTAAGTGTAGTTAGCCAATTTTTGCAAGAGCCATGTCAAAGTCATTGGGATGCAGCCATCAGAATATTGAGATATGTGAAAAGGTCTCCAGGTACAGGGTTGCTCTATAAAGATCATGGACATACATAAATTGTTGGCTATACAGATGCAGATTGGGCTGGATGTCCTTGGGATAGGAGATCAACATCAGGATATTGTATTCTATTTGGAGGTAATCTTGTCTCTTGGAAAAGTAAGAAACAAGATGTGGTTGCACGCTCAAGCGCAGAAGCTGAATACCGAGCAATGGCACTTGGAATATGTGAGCTAATTTGGGTTAAACAACTTCTTACAGAACTCAATTTCTATAAGCATGGTCCTATGAAATTAATTTGTGATAATCAAGCAGCGCTCCACATTGCGTCTAATCCTGTCTACCATGAAAGGACTAAACATATTGAGGTTGATTGCCACTTTATACGAGAGAAGGTCGCATCCGGAGACATTGTTACCACATTTGTTGGGTCAAATGATCAACTTGCTGATGTTCTCACCAAATCTCTCCGTGGACCTAGGATTGAATACATTTGTAGCAAGCTGGGAGCTTTTGATTTATACGCTCCAGCTTGAGGGGGAGTGTTGGAATATTAAAAGTCTTGGGCAGCTCACTAGCCTTAGTAATTAAATGGGCAGCTCACAAGCCTCAGTAATTAAAGCCTTGGGGAGATGAGTAGTTTCTTTATTTATTATTGTTTACTTTTGTAGACCTATATATAGACTTGTAACTTGAAGTTAGACATAATACAAGAACCCTTTCTAGCTTTTAACACTTATTATTAGTTTCCTTTCAGGGTATACAAGACTGTTCCAGCCAGATAAACCTGTGACAAAAGCTCAAGCTGCTATTGCCCTTGCAACTGGTGAGGCTTCTGACATTGTTGGTGAGGAGCTTGCACGTATCGAGGCTAAATCTATGGCTGAAAAAGCTGTCACTGCACATAATGCTCTAATCGCTGAAGTGGAGAAAGATGTCAATGCAAGTTATGAAAAGGAACTCTCATTGGAAAGAGAAAAGATTGATGCAGTGGAGAAATTGGCTGAGGAGGCAAGGTGAGAATTGGAGAGGTTAACAGCTGAACGGGAGAAGAGAACCTTGCCTTACTGAAGGAGCGTGCTGCTGTTGATTCAGAAATGGAAGTTCTTTCGAGGTTAAGGCGTGAGGTAGAGGAGCAGCTACAGACCCTTATGAGTGTGAAGTTGGAGATTTCTTATGACAAAGAAAGGCTCAACAAGCTTCAGAAAGATGCTGAACTTGAAAATCAAGAGATAGCAAGGTTACAATATGAACTAGAGGTTGAGAGAAAAGCACTGTCCATGGCTAGGCAAGGCAGTAATCATTTTCATCAAATTATGGTTTCACTTGCTTCTCCTCCAATTCATATATTCTTTAATTCTTTTACGCAGGGCTTGGGCTGAAGATGAGGTTAAAAGAGCTAGAGAGCAAGCAAAGGCCTGGAGGAGGCAAGAGAACGCTGAGAGAAGCATGGCATCAAGGTTGTTGTTGATAATGACCTACAGGAAGAAGCAAATACTGGTGTCACATGGCTAAGTGCTGGAAAGCAGTTGTCAGTTGAAGGAAGCATATCTAGGGCAGAGAATTTGGTGGACAGATTGAGGGGAATGGCTGATGCCGTAAGAGGAAAATCAAAAGATACAATTAACAAAATAATGGAGAAGATACTTTTGTATATTTCCGTACTAAGGGAGTGGGCACAGAGAGGACGAAGGCGGGCAATAGTGTTAAAAGATACTGCCACATCAAAGATCAGTAACTCTTTTGAGTCTGTGAAGCACAGCTCTGCTGAACTTGAGTCAGCTGTCAGAGAGAGAGTTAAGCGATTTGCTGTTGATTGCAGGGAAGGAGTTGAGAAAATTTCTCAGAAATTCAGAACATAAGTCGCCACGCATCCTTGCAAACATCTATTTTGTACTTTGGTTGGTGAGGAGCTGTAATTCCTCCCTGGCAATTTCCTCTGTACTCTTGCAGTCTTGCTAATAAGAATATTCTTGCAGAGCTCTCATAATACGCGAATTCAGAATATGCAGTGAGGTTTTTGGAATGGAAAGATTGCAGTGATTTTTAGAACTGGAAGATTGTTATTTCCGCTACTTGTTGATTGTGCTCACTTTTCGTCCCTAGGCTCTTATATTATGATCCATTTTTATTAAATGCGACCTGTCTCACAGATTGAGACTCATGTGACGGTCTCATACACTTTTTTTTTTTTTTTTTGTTTAAACTTTTTTGCCTTGGATCTGAAGAGTAACAGTGTTAAATTAGTAGTGAATTAAGAAAAAAGAAAATATAAATACAGATAATAATTAAGCAGGATGTGTACAAATATGCAAATATAAATAATCTGCAGGTAGAGGTAGGTGTAAAATATGTATGATTAAGAAGTGGGTAGCATGACTGTTGTATGTATGGTATGGTATGTGGGATTAGATATTGAGGTTGTTTTGATGGTGCCAATATTGTTTTTCCCAGGAATCTACTTGCTTGATTGAACTTTCTCTGGTATCCACAATAGCGTTAAGAGTTGCAGGATCAAAGGGAGGCGGCATTGTGCAGGGCGCAGTGGTGGATGGAGCAGCTTTGACCAGAGATTCCATCATAAATTGCTTCTCCAGTCCGTTTGCGCCACAAACCATCTTCTCCGAACAAAGCTCAACTGCCTCTGGAGGTACGGTTGATTTGTATTTCAAGAGCTTGGCATACTCGCTCAAAAGATGGAACATGTAGTCGTACACATATTCCATTTTCAATTCCTCCTGAATATACTTGCTTCCTGCCATGCCAATCTCTTTTGCCTGTATGTTATGTTATTAATACACATTATTATAAATAATTAACCTATCCATCATTTAATATCTTGCACACTGCACATACAGCTGCATATATATATGATAGTGAAGTATGAGCAATTGAGCAGTGAAGAAACATAAGGCGGATAGAATAGACTATAGAGATAGAGAAGAGCAGTGGTTTGGATCAAGTTAAACAATATAATGATAATAATAATATATTATTTAGGATGACCTAGCTACCTGTTGATGATGATTATTGCCCCAGTCAACAGCATGCTTAATAGATTTGCATTTGTCATCATCCCTTATAGGCCAATAGTGCTTCATTGGCATCAAACCTCTGGTGTAGAAATCGTAGTAATGGGGCTTCACTAGTAAAGTCAGAGAATCACATGCTAAGATGTATTTCTCACTCACAGACCATGCAGATCCTTCAATATAAATCTTGTATCTGTGCATTATTATATTATATTTAATTTAATTTGCACAATCAGATAAATAGCTAGCTAGATATATATGTGGGGGCATGCATTGCATGTATATCAAAACGACATGATACATAACAACACAAACACATATATAATTGTTTTACCGGTGAATGCACTGGTCGGCTAAGTTAGACTGCTGGTAACCTTGCTTCTGTTCCTGAATCCAATCCTGAAAGAAAAAAGTAAAAATATTGGGGGAGGCAGTAAAAGGCAGGGCCGGATTTTAGGCTGTGCAAGCTGGGCTACCGCACAGGACCCCCAACTTTAGAGGGGCCCCAAATTTTAAAGGTTTAATATTTAATTTTTACCTAGCTAGTTTATAAATAAAAATTAAAAGTTTTTAATTAAACTTAAAAGGTTCCATGAAGAGATGGTAAGAATGTGTATTTGTTGTATTTTAACTTGGAGGTCAAAGGTTCGAAACTTACATGTATTAATTTTAAAAATTGTGATTTTGGTAGGGCCACATTTATTTACTAGAACAGGGCCATCAAAATTTAAAATACGGCCCTGGTAAAAGGCTAAGTCCAGCAATTAGTGATAAGGGGATTGTTGTGCTAGCTATATGTATATACGTGCATATTACTCATCACTCTGATCTGCGAATGAGAATGGGAATTAGCTAGGTACCTGTGCATACACACGAGCACCCCAATCCTGCTTTTCTGAGACATTACATTTGAGCAGATCCTTTCTGGTTGCAGCAACTGCAGGATTTCCCTTCCAGTATGCATATGGCTCCCTGTCCACCCATTTAATCTTCACATTCCCTTCTTTCAGCTCCTTTGATAATCCCTCCCATGGCTTAATATTGATTTCAGGCCTGAACCAATTCAAACATTATTAACATACATTAGGTACTACACGCGCGCACACACACGTAGGTAGATACTAGCAAGTTATACATACCATCCCCAGAATGACCAATCAGGAAAGACAATATCCCAAGTAGCTTCATCCCCGCAGTAGCGGAACAAAGGTGGGGGGGCTGTAGTGGTGTCATTTGGACGAGGATCTGGAACATAACTTTGTTTTTTGATGACTGGCCAATCAACAGTATCGAACATTAGATCCAAATCCGGCACTTTACCGGGATACCTCCGCAACAATTGTAAAATACCCCACAGAGTAAAAGTGTCTCTACTTTGAAATGACTTTCTGTAATTGTGATAGTACGCAATCCCATTCACTATCACCAGCCGAAAGTTGGCTGTCCTCCTCGCACTCATCACCATCTCTCTGCTAATACCACTCTCCCTCCACGCCCACAAGTCATCATAGATCCAACGGAAGTAATCTGGACATTTTGATGATGATTGTGTTGGTGTTGGGGATGGGGAATCTTGAATCCTCGTCCTCGTCCTAGTCAGCTTTGATGATGGGTAGTAATTAGCAGGGCAGCTTGCCATGGGAGTTCTAAGTGAACAATTCAGTGGAGGGATTTCATTTTCAATTATTTTCTGATGAGATAATCTTGTTGGATGCTGCTGCATGTTTGGAGTAGTAGTCTTGTAAGTTTCAATTGTTTCGGAAATAATAATAATAATAATAATAATAAGTTCATTTAATTTGTTTGGTGGCGATGCTATCTTCTAGTTTAAATATACTTTTGCCACATGCAATGCAAATAACAATAAAGGACAAAAAATTTTACTTCTCTACTTTAACAAAAACTGAATTTATTTCTTCAAATACAAAAGTTATATTTCACTTACTTATTCACCTACACTTTATTGCCATTCTTCCCCAATTATGTTGTGGTCCATCAAGCCTTTAACTATGGAGGAGTTTGTTAATTATTTATCAGCAATACAGAGCTGACTAGTGAACCAATGATGTTTTGGTTAGTAAGGATGATTATAGATTAGTAATCTCAATTATATTTTCAATTGCGTATGAGTTTGTTAATTTAATTACTAATGTGAAAGGACGATTATATTTTCAATTGATTAGTATGGATGATTAGCCCTAGTGGTAGCCACATCATACATATGCAATAATGCATGTAATGTGGGGCAAATGGTGCGTTTAAGTCCAAACTTAATTGGGACCGAACCATTGCAATTTGAGTTGAATACCAGTACACTAAAAACAATACAAATTAATAAATTAAACAAAACAATCTAAGCTAACTTGGTAAATTAGATTGGTAAGGTGGGTGAGAAAAATATTCTTATATTTTAAATATAGACCATTGTTTTAAAACCATATTTTTTACAGTGTATGTGTTTCCCATACTTTGAAAACAAAAACTGAAAAACGGAAAAATAGAAAGTATGTAAAAAAAGTCTATTAAAGTAGAGCATATACAGAGAGAGAGAGAGAGAGTATATACTTACTGCGGTGACAGTGGAGTCTAGCAAACGCGTGGAAACGAACGCGCCGACGCAGAGAACCATAAAGAAGAAGACGGCAAGTGAAGAGCGCCCCAGAGTCTTAATCGCCGGTAATGGTCTCCAGTTCGTGTCTGTAAAGTGTCTGTAAAGCCTAGCGCCCTCACTAGTCTCCCTCATTTTCAATATATGCGGACGCACCATATTACGTATATACACTACCTAGCTTAGCTAGTTAGCTACCAGCATAATTAAGCATAGATATAAGATATGATATCATATGGTGAGGCTTTAATTTGTAGCATTTATATAATATATCATGGCGATCGACTAACTCGATCAGATGAGAAGGTAGGCCGGAATTTTGTGTACGTGTATATAGACGAATTGAAGTTGGTATCTGGGCTGGTAAACCAGGTGTCGAGAGAGAGGGAGAGGCGGGAGGAGTTGAGTTGCTTGTAATGTTCTGACTTCTGACTATATATATTGCATTTGCATGTGACTGCTATGACTAATGGCACCTAACAAGGCAAAATTTTCTTCATCAATGATGGCGACAATACCTTTTAACTTTAATTATTATTTCTTCTCCCCCCAACTTTATTTATTATTAGCTAATCGTTTAGTATACTAATTAGACGTAGAGAAAAAGAAAATTAATAATTAAGAGGTGTATTTGTGTGAAACTAAATCATGAATCTTAATTCGATAGTATAAATTATAATATCTATTACAGAAAATTTAATATTAATTTGAAATAAATAAATTTTTATTTATAATACATAGATATTGTAATATTTATATGTGAAATTGTGATATTGTTTCATGTAAAAATGATTGTGATAAATATTGTAATATTTATAGTTAAAATTTTCTCATACCTATAAAGTATAATTCAAATGTAATATTGTACTCTCCCTGACACATTTACTTTTTACATGCACAATTTTTAATGCAACACAACAAATGTTACTAATTTTTCAATTTTGTCTCTCAAAAATAGGTATTATTTGTATAAGAGTTAATTCCACCAGAAGTTCATTATCTTTGGTGAAATTTCAAATTTAGTCTCACTCTATTGTTTTTGCCATTTAAATCCTAGACTATTAATTTTTGAACACTTTTAGTCCTTTTCATGACATTTTCTATTTTTAGTAAGAGTGTTTTTGTCTTTTCATATTTTCCTTTGTTATTTTTCCGGTTTCAACTGGTTTAATTGGTTTAGAACTTTATGTAACCTTTAATTTTTAGTAACCATATTTTTTAACCGGTTATTAGTATAGTCCTAATTAAATCAAGGGTAATTCTACATCTACTTCCAAATTATACTCCCATTTTGCACTCCCTATAACATGGCATGCTTTGATTGCTTAATTAGTAGGGGTCATGATGTTTATTCATTATTTTTCTTTCTTCCTCCAATCAGATTTAAATACAAGTGAGAGATTGGGAGTATAGTTTTGAGAGTACATCTAGTATTTTTAAATTGAAAAATGTAGAATGAAAGTTATGTTGAATTTTAAAAATACGTAGCAATGTCTTAGAATAGATGTATCCTTTTTTGTCACTTGATATTTCAATTCACACCACCTGCTACTCATACTCGTTTGAGATCACACAAAGACACAATGACTTAACTAAATATCCGGCCCCTTTTTTGTCACTTGATTTTTCACACCACCTGCTAGTCCTACTTGTTTGAAATCATACAAAAACACAATGTCTTAAAATAAATATCTCTTTTTTTGTCACTTAATTTTTCACACCACCCGCTGCTCTTGCTCGTGTTACTGCTGCTTGCTTTATATGAGATATATTACACCTATAGTTTATCCTTAGTAATTTTTTCATGCCTGAGAATTAAAAACAAAATCATAATAATGACAAATTAAAACTGGATGGATTTCTATGCTAGCTAGCAAGCTAAGTGACACTACATGTATTATATATATATATATATATATATATATATATATATATATATATATATATATATGCAAAGTCTTTCCAAGCGCTAGTATGTCCCATAACAGGTTTGGTCCCCTAGAACAAATCCAAATCGTCCTCAAAATTTTGGGTATTTAGTTTCAACAATTACTTAACCTAGCTTTCAATTAAATTAATTGATATCACTCTTTTAGGATCAAATGTTTATCACTATGATAAAAATTATAACTTGTAGTGAAGACGTAATTTTATTTTTTTTAGTACCGCGACATTTTCGAGAAATAGAGTGTTGGACTTGACTCTTTGCTGGCTTCCGCTCAACAATCACTTGTTAGTTTTAACTGCACAATTGAACACGTGACCTGATTTTGATACCACTGTTTTAAATCAAGCTCTCATAACGAAGGCACAACTTTAATTCCTTATACAGTCACATTTTCGAAAAACAAGATATTGGACTTAATCCTTCACCGATCTCCGTCGAACAATCTCCCTTGCCACCAATTGACCGGACTTGACACTTCATTGCTGTCCGCCCAACACACCCTACATCCCATCCCAAGTAATTAAAATTTAATTAGTTTCAACCGTCATATCAAAAGAAAAACAAAATAAGAATTAAAATAAAATGTCAAATACTATAGATTACTACTATTATAAAACTTTGTTTCTTTTACTCCCCAGCCTACTTTTACCGCTTCCTGCCAAACAAATTATTATGACGCATAGAATCGAAAGCACCATAGCATATAGTAATATTTGCCCCTTTTCCTTATGGGTGAGGTCAGCAGGTCAACACAAACATTTCAATCCATTGAGGGAAATGTAGGGAATTTAAGTAATGACAAATAATCAAGCTATTTTAGCATATTAACTTACAAAAATTTAAATAACTCCAAGGTTTAGGCAATCCAGACAAAATCCAAATACAGAAAATTAGAAAATCAACACTCCACGTACTACACCTACCTACAAATTAAACTCTTGATACAAATATATAATCGTACAAGTAAATAATCTGATTAATAATACTTTCTTATCATTTTAAAATACCTCTTGTCATATGATAACACTTGTGTGAGACCATCTCACGGGTCTCAATCTGTGCAGTCGTTATGCTCTAGACCCGTGTCCAGCATGGTAACAGTGCCATTACCCGTGTTATCTTTTTTTTTTTTTTTTTTTTTTTTTTTTTTTTTAATTTCAGATTAGTTATAGGAGTATATGTTCATAATTTTATTATTATATGTTCATAATTGTAAGTTCATAATGTCAGAGCTCTATGTTCATAAATCAATAACTGTACATTCATACTTCCATAACTGTACATTCATAATTCCGTCACTGTACATTCATAATTCAATAACTGTAACTTCATAATTTTCGAAGCTCTATGTTCACAATTTTAGAGCTCTATGTTCATAATTTTATCACTATATGTTCACATTTTAAGTTCATAATATCAGAGCTCTGTGTTCATAATTCAATAATTGTATATTCATAATTGCATAACTGTACATTCATAATTGTATAACTGTACATTCATAATTCCGTAACTGTACATTCCTAATTCAATAACTGTAAAATCATAATTTTTGAAGCTCCATGTTCACAATTTTAGAGCTCTATGTTCATAATTTTATCACTATTTGTTCATAATTGTAAGTTAATAATGTCAGAATTCTATATTTATAATTTTATAACTTACATTCATAATGTCATAACTGTACATTCATAATGCCATAACTGTACATTCATAATCCCATAACTGTACATTCATAATGGCACAAACGAATAACGCAGTTAACGGCGAGACAAAATCAATTTTTTTTTTAAACTGAAATGACGCGTTTTTCTTAAAAACGACGTCGTTTTGGACTCGTGTCCACAATGCGTTGTGGACACGGGTCCTGGGCATAATTTGCCCAATCTGTGAGACGAGTCGAATCTTTGATTAATGGGTCAATTTTGTAATTAATAGGTTAGATCTTTGACCTCATTAATCAAGAATCCGACTCGTCTCACGGATTGAGACCCGTGAGACGGTCACATGCACACAAATTTTTTCCCTTGTTATAACATTGCTTAACTAGTACAGGTTCAGTTTTTCTTTTTTTTTTTTTTTCCTCCAAAAAATGACCAAATTAAAGAGGAGGTCTTTTTTTTTTTTTTTTTTTTTTTTAACATAAGTTATGTCATTTTCAAAGCTCTCAAGAACTTCGTTCGGAGGTCTCTCGAACCCAATCCAATCACATCTCTTTCTAACTGTTATCTTAGCAAATATGTCAGTCCACTGTATTATACTCTTGAGAGACATGGGTAAATTTTAATTACTTTCCAAACCCTCTCAATCCAGGCTTTACATTTATAGACGATGACCCTGTTTGGTAAAAAATTAGTCTATAGGTCAATTTTGGCTTATTTGACCACTATTAATTGTTTGATTTAGTTAAAATATCAATATAAGTGTTTGGTTAATTAGCTTTTTGCAACTCCAAAATGCTAAAATTCAAAAAACTATTCCAAGCAACTTTTTTCAATTAACTTTTTCATAAAAGAAATTATACCAAACAACTATCAGCTAACAGCTAATTTACCAAACAAATTAGCTCTCTCACTGATCTACTCAACCCAATCGTTATGTTGTGCATCCGTATGCACCATGCATGGTGCATACGGATGCCAAAACGACGTCGTTTTATTAAAAAACGCGCGTCTCTCCTTTAAAAAAAAATTCAGGTTCGATTCCCAGCAACAACATTATATTGTTCATTCATTCTGGAATTTTAGTGCATAGGTTATGGAATTATAGTTCATTGATTATGGAATTATAGTTCATCGATTATGGAATTGTAGTTCATCGATTCTGAAATTTTAGTTTATAGATTATGGAATTTTAGTTCATTAATTCTGGAATTTTTAGTTCATAGATTAGATTATGGAATTATAGTTCATCGATTATAGAATTTTAGTTCATATATTGTTGCTGGAAATCGAACCTGATTTTTTTTTTAAGGGGAGACGCGCGTTTTATTAAAACGACGTCGTTTTTGCATCCGTATGGTGCATACGGATGCACAACATATATAATTTGCCTACTCAACCACCTCTTTTGCATCGCTTTTAATCCACACCTTTTAGCCTTTCTATCCCAGGCTCATTGTAAGGCCATATACACAACTCCCCTTCGGCGACATGGTTTGTTCTCGCCATGCAGCTGAAACCAATTACCCAACTCCCTTTATGATCTCTCATACAGCCCACACGCCATAGGCTTGTTCAGAGAATTGAACGACGACGCATTCGTATTCACCACCATCCACACATGGAGAATTTAAAAACATAATAAGTCTCTCATTTATGTCCATATTTTTAATGCTAACCATTTTGTACATTATGCTTTAGAATTGTACTATATAATTTTTTAGACAAAAATACCCTTATTGTTATAACTTCCGTTATCTTTTCCATTACTTTTACCATGCACATGCATCCACCATATCTTTTCTTTTATTCTTTATTGATAACAATATTAGTAAGACATTATATATTCATTATATATTGGATTAATATAATAAATAAACTTTATTTCACTTAGATTTTAATTAGTAAAAATTTGTTAGTTATTTTTAAAAATCTAAATATTGAGCATATGTTTTTGCGCATCGCGCATAGAAAAGATTAGTATATAGAATATAAGACAATAAATTGAATTAAAGAATAGAACAACCAGAAAACTAGTATCAAGAATTATTAATATAAATGAAAATTTCAACCCCAAGTGTTAACTCTAACTGATTTGAAATGTCCATTGACACAAAAGATATTTATTCATATATCATAATAGTTGGGGTAAGTTAACCACGAACACGCATTAACCCTAAGTCACCTAATTTACTTAAAAGTGATAAACTTCACCAATTAAGTCTAATCGATAGCTAGCTTAAGTAGGCAACCTAACCCTATAACAAATGCCTAGGATTCAAGGTTCAATTGCATTAAGATTTGTGAATTCATAACCAACACAAATAATATTCTCCGAATGGACAAACATTTAATTTGTATCTATATTTCCCTGGATGGTTCATAAGCACCTAGTTGATATTTAAACGAAATTTCAGTCAAACGAACAAGAAATTAAATCATATAGCAATGAATCATAAGAATAATTAAAGAGCTGAGTATGCATCCGAATTAATTAAACCCATAAATTCAATAAAAATTAAACCATCAAAATATACTCCATAGATTAATACTATAACAAATAAATAATTAAGCTCAAAGTCTCACATATCAATCTATAGAGTTCTAATTTGGAATTGGAAATTAAGAACCCTAACTATTCATAATTGAAAAATTGACAGCAAAATAATTAAGAATTACAAAAACCGGAATGTGAACTTAGAGAAAAAATTATTGTAACAGATTAGTTAGGGGTCAAGACGGATTACATGCAGAAAATAGAAAAATGAAGGGAAGCAGATCAGTAGAGTGAAGAGTAGAGTTGAGAGCATGGTGAGAAGAGAAATAGGAAATTCCTCTATTGAAAAGTTTAATAAAAAACTTTTATTTTTTTGAGAGGAAACGATAATTCATTAATTAAACGGCCTCAGCTATGAACGGAGCCGGGGGGCAGGGGGGCAGTTGTCCCCCTCACCCCACCCCCACTCCACATATAATAGTTGTATGTTATGTATAAAAATATTTTAAGCACTAAATTAAAAATAATATCAAATAATTAAGAGGCTAACAATACACTTTCCGATCATCCTTGGACTATTTTTCTTATATATGTTTCCAGTTGGTGCCGCCTTCAATCATGCCATTTAAGTTAAGTGACGAATAAACTATGTTGAGTAGGTGCTTTTGATGTGTTATTTAACCACTAGAGTAGTGTGTAGCATAAATATCCAAACATAGACTAAAAGAAAAACCACGGGAGTGAATAATTTTCTTTGAGATTTTTATATTATTAGAGTTTGGGGTTTTTATTATATATAGACATAGTATATTTATAGATACTAATACATTGTAATAGAGTCAGTAGCATTCAAAAAAATATTTATAGATTTATAAAATAATATACAATCCTCTATATATATATATTTACTTATTTGTATTAATGGAGAAATTTAAATAAATTATACAACTTAACTTAAAATATAAACCCAACTAAATATGTTAATGTTATATTTTCATAAAATTGCCACTTAAATGGCTAAAGTTTTTACTACTGCAATAGATAAGAGATGATGGATGACATTGAAGAAAGTAGGAAGCTATATAGTATAGTTAGCAATCCGGCAGCATGGATATATGATGGATGTATGTGAGTAATATATATATATATATATATAGTTTAGTTTTTGTATGTAGTAGGCCGGGCCGCAGTAGGTAGGTAGGTAGCTAGTCTTCTCCAATGAAATTTGCGTGCTGCCAGTAATCATCTTCCCAGGAGTGTACCTTGTGGATTGAATTTTGTTTGTTTTTGAGAATGGAATGAAGAGCAGCAGCGGGGGCAGGAGAGGGCGGCATGGTGCATGGCGGTGTGTGGGAGGGAGCTTCAACCATAGATTCCATCATAAACTGCTTCTCCAGTCCTTGTGAGAGGGAAAGCACATGGTGGGAGGTGAGTGGCAGCATTTGTGGAGGTACACTTGGCTTGTATTTCAACAACTTGCTGTATTCACTCAGCAGGTGGAACATGTAGTCATACACATACTCCATCTTCAATTCTTCTTCCAAGAATTTGCTCCCACCATTCCCAATCTGTTGTGCGTGCTTTGGATGCTTCTTCCCCCACTCAACAGCATGCTTGATAGACCTGCATGTATCTTCATCCCTTATTGGCCAATAATGTTTCATTGGCATCAGACCTCTGGAGAAGAAATCGAAGTAACGGGGGTTCACCACCAATGTTGGAGAGTTACATCCCAAGATGTATTTCTGGCTCACAGACCATGACCTTCCTTCAATGTAAATCTTGTATCTACACCAATATAACTTACTATCATGTTCGATCCTACCACCCATCTAAAATATATGGTATTATCTATCACATTATGTAATAGTTGACAGTTAATATAATTCCAGATAATTTAGAAATAAATAATAAGCACTTACTGGTGAGTGCATTGGTTGGCTAAGTTGGAGTGATTGAAACCTTCTTGTTCCTCACTAGTCCAATTCTACAAATTTAAAATAATAATGGGACGTATTCCATTATATATATACATACATACAGGACCATTAGTAGTTGTTTTACATTAATTCATTAATTTAAAATGTAACTTGTAACTAGTAATTGACACCTACTGATATTCAAGTCTAAAAATATGTACCTAGTTAATATATGAATTCGTACGTACCTGATTATATAGGCGAGCCCCCCAATCTTGATATTCTGACACATTACATTTAAAGAACAAATTCATCCTATTTATAGAGGTGAAAGGATTTCCCTTCCAGAATGCATACGGTTCCCTGTCCACCCATTTAATCCTCTCATTGCCTTGTTGCAACTCCTTTAATAGTACCTCCCATGGCCTAATATGCAATTCTGGCCTGAATTTATGTATGTAATATTAATTAATATTAAAGAGACGCACGAATTGAATTGAATTGAATTGAATATGAATGCATACTATATATACATACCACCCCCAGAATGACCAATCAGGGAATGGAATATCGAAAGTTGAATCATCGGCGCAAAAGGTAAACAAGGGTGGTGGGGCAGTGGCATTTGGGCCCCTAAAATGTTCCACTTGTATGGCGGGTTCGTCCTCACAATCAAACATCAGCTCCAAATCAGGTATTTTACCGGGGTACCTCCTTAGCAATTGTAAAATTCCCCATACAGTAAGAGTGTCTCTGCTTTGAAATGCTTTGAAATGCGAATCCACATACGCACTCCCATTCACTATCACCAACCGAAAAGCAGCTGTCGTTTTGCCGCGCATCACCATTTCTCTCGTAATTCCGGTCTCCTTCCACACCCATAGGTCCTCATTGATCCAACGAAAGTAATCCGGACACGTCGCCGGGGATTTCTCATCAGATTCTCCCGAAACCGACCACCACAACGACGACTGCATGCGCCCATCATTTCATATCATTATTATTAGGCACAAGTGTCAAATAGGCTCATCTACTACTGCCAAGTGCTCAATTTCCACCACGAACTAAATTAAGTGTCAAATAGATCTATTTACGAGTTAATTTTATTCAATTGACTTTTTTTACAGATTAATAACAGGTTACTTATTTAATTATTAAAATAAATAAATAAAATAAAATAAAAAAATAATACATCCTTTTTTTTGTAATAATTTTTAAATTATTTTTTTAATAATTGAATTGGTAACCTGCAAAAAAAATCAATTACCTGCGAAATAAGTTAATTGAACAAATTTAGTAGGTAAATGTGGTTAATTAGCTTTTAATTTAGTTCATAGTGGGAATTGAACACCTAACAATAGTACATGGGCCTATTTGACACTTCTCCCTTATTATTATTTTTTTTTTCCATTTCTTAGACACAGACAGATAGATAGATAGATAGATACATAGATAGAAAGTCTTTTCCAAAAAAAAAAAAAAAAAAAAAAAAAAAAAAAGAAAAGATAGAAAGTCGTTCAGGAACTGAACTTACTGGGAATGTGGAGTGGAGCCAGTGAATATTATTTATGACGAAGAATTGGCCTGTGAAGAGAAACACGAAGAAGAAGAAGAGAGCCAGCAGCCACCACCCACGCACCTTTGTCCCTCTCATTTCCTTCCTTCAATTCAAAACGTAACGTATCTACATTTATTTCTTTTTTTCAATAATCATTCCTCCCTTTTTTATATTTGTGCCCCGCCCCCACAACACCTACTTTTAATTCACACCTACTATACGGAATTACGGAGTAATTAATTATTTGCCTCTCTTGCTTATTTAGTCACCAATATTATTATAGAGTATATAGTAATTATACTTTTTAACCAAATTAAAATAAAATCCTACCATAATATATGCATGGAAACTCTATCGGGTTGTATATTTATATAATTCTACATAAATTATGTAAATGATTTAACATATTTGGCGCACCATTATCTTTTTTTAAAATATGATCTTTTTAGAGTAAATACCCAAAATAGTCTCTCAACTATAGCTAAATTCACAAATTGGTCCTTGACTTTTAATTTTAACCAATTAAGTCTTTAACTTTGCAATTTTAACACGATTTGGTCCTCCGTCTATTTGACCATTTGTTGACCGTGATCTCTGAGGATATATATGTAATTTCATCACCGCCCGCCCTCATCCGCTATCAAGACACAGTCTATTGCCCATCCACAAGCCACTGCCCAGCCGCCCTCATCTACTGCCATGACACACTTCACCGCCCAGCCTTCACATACTGCCACGACACAATCGACCGCCCAAACACCTTCGCATAATTCATCATTGCCGGCGCTACAACCCAATTTACAATCTTCATCAGTCCAACGCCACAAACAACCGTGTCTGAGTCTACTGGGCGGCGCCGCGATTCTCGTGTCCAACAAGAAGCGCGATTCGGGTCGGGCCAAGTACCGGCTCATGCACGTGGTCCGCACGCACAAGGGTGCCGACGATAAAGCCTACCGTTGCGTTTACGAGCAGAAATATCCTCAAGGGAAAGTCGGAATCAACCTCTCAAAAGACCTAATGGTGATCGTCGGCGAAGCCCTCAAATCCAACATAACCACAATCGGCCCGCTCGTTCTCCCGCCGTCGAAGCAGCTCCTCTTCCTGTTCACCCTAATCGACCGGAAAATCTTCAATCCCAAATGGAAACCCTACATTCCCGACTTCAAACAGGCCTTCGAACACTTCTGCATCAACGCCGGCGGCCGCGCCATCATCAACGATCTCCAAAAGAACCTGCAGCTCTCGCCGGAGCACGTAGAGGCCTCCAGGATGACACTGCACCGGTTCGAAAACACATCGTCTTCTTCGCTCTGGTACAAACTCAACTACATTGAATCCAAAGGGAGGATGAAGAAATGCGACATGATTTGGCAGATTGCTTTCGGCGGTGGATTCAAATGTAATAGTGCGGTCTGGAAATACAACTGGAACCTTAAAAAACCGACGACGGACCATGAAATTACATATATATCCTCAAAAATCACAGTCAACAAACGGAGGACCAAATCGTGTTAAAATTGTAAAGTTAAGGACTTAATTGGTTAACATTGAAAGTCGATGACCAATTTGTTAATTTAGCTATAGTTGAGGGATCATTTTGGGTATGTACTCATCTTTTTACATTGCGGCCGGGCATACACCGATATTAATTATGTACATATTTCTACAACTTGATTTATAATATTCATCATTAATGACAATAATTTCATTTATTATTAATCATGATTCCGGGCTGATAATATTATTAATTATTTATAAAATTTTACGTATTAAGAGTGTTACGACGTAACTTTGAAAATAGATATATTTATTAATATAGTAAAATATTTGGTTAGTAAGATTGAATATATGTTTAATTTGTGTGCGTGTATAAACTGTATTGCATCCATTTCCACTATTGTAAAGTGTGAATGCATATTAATAGATTTGTAAGATCATTAATATAAATGAGATTAGCAATATGAATGCATTTATTGTGTTCACATTTACAATGTATCTGTTCATATACTTTCTCAATGGTTCCACTGAGGCTCGAACTCGTAATAACCTTCTAAATGAAAATCCAACCCGGGTACCATTAGACCACATAGTCTTAGTAAATACGTTAGTCATATAATTAAATTAGTTATTTCAAATTTAAATAATAATAATAATATAAGTAACAATAAATTTTAAAATCAACATAATAATAACATAATTAAACTTATATTTTTAATAAAACTAATTATGTTTAGTATCCTAACATTACAACAATACCTATAAATTTTTGTCCCCGGGCAAATACTAGTATTCTTTAAAAACAAAAAAGGTTTTGCATGTGTTTCTGGTGTCAGCTGGTTTAAGGCTATAGATGTATGTATGTATACAGGGAGGGAGGGAGTTGGAAAATATATTTGATCCTTACCTTAAAATATTGAATCCCCAACTCTAAGGACCTTAGTAGGAGGGAGGGAGGGAGGGTATGTTATTATCCTGTATATCATATAGGGGTGGCACTGTTTTGATGGTTATTCCAGTAGTGGTTTTCCCAGGAATGGACCTGATTGATTGAATTTTGTTTAGTGCGGAGAAGGAAATGAAGAGTGGCGGGATCAAAAGGAGGCGGCATGGTACAAGGCGGTGTCCGGGAGGGAGTCTTCACCATAGAATCCATCATGAACTGCTTCTCCAGTCCGGTTGCTGGGCAAAGCATTAGCTCAGAACAGAGTTGAAGTGCCTGGGGAGGTACAGTTGGCTGGTAGTTCAAGAGTTTGGCGTAGTGGGTCAACAGGTGGAACATGTAGTCGTAAACGAACTCCATCTTCAATTCTTCCTCTATGAATTTGCTTCCTTCTTTGCCAAACTGTTGCGCCTTTTGGGGATGGGTGTTGCCCCAATCAACAGCGTGCTTAATGGATCTGCATTTGTCGTCCTTGGTCTTTATCGGCCAATAGTGTTTCAACGGCACCAAACCTCGGCTGAAGAAATCGTAGTAACGGGGCTTCACTAGTAACGTTAGAGAATCGCACGCCAATATGTACTTCTCGCTTACTGACCACCCCCTTCCTTCTATATAGATCTTGTACTTGTGTGTACACTGACTCGCTAAGTTGGACTGCTTGAAACCCTGCTTTTCTTCTTCAATCCAATTCTGCCGCCCGCACGCCCGCAAATTATATATATATATATATATATATGCATGTTTCATAATAATAATTCAGATCAACTCATACTCATCCAAGTAACCAGTTAATTTCATCATATATAATATATGCATGTACGTGGTACGTCTTACCTGAGTATATAAACGAGCACCCCAGTCCTGGCTTTCTGAGACATTACAAGTAAGCAGATTCTTTCTGATTGCAACTGAAGGATTTCCCTTCCAGTAGGCATATGCTTCTCTATCAATCCATTTAATCTTTTCACTCCCTTGTTTCAAGTCCTTCAATAATCCCTCCCATGGCTTAATATTCATTTCTGGCCATCCCCAGAATGACCAATCAGGAAAAGAAATATCCAAAGTTTCATCACTGGCACAGTATTTAAACAACGGAGGAGGAGGGGCTCCTGTGGTACCTTGGAAATGCCTGGCTTTGATGACTGGTCGATCCTCACAATCAAACATGAGCTCCAAGTCCGGCACTTTACCAGGGTACCTCCGCAGCAGCTGCAAAATGCCCCATAGGCTGAAACTGTCTCGAGTTTGAAATGCCTTTCTGTATTTCTCCACGTATGCTGTCCCATTCACTATCACCAACCGGAAATGGGCTGTCCTTTGGGCACTCATAACCATTTCTCTGCTAATTCCTGTCTTCCTCCAAACCCATAGGTCCTCATACATCCAACGGAAGTAATCTGGACACGTTTTTGGGGATGGAACTGCTGCTGCCTCTTCATCATCATATAATGATGGGCCGTAGTAGCTAGCAGCCGGACAACTTCTTGTGAGGTTAACAAATGAACAATTCAGAGGATCAATTTCTTTTTTTGTTTCATACACATCTTGTGTTGGTCTCTGAAGGAATTTTCCAGAGAGTGACCACGACTGCATGCAAATTATATATAATTTTAAAGCTAGAGTAAGTTTTCAGGGATATGATAACCAAAAAATGTATACAAACAGTATCAATTCCAAAAACAGAGAAAAATGTATGTAGCTATATAGGCCAGCACTCGCGCGCGCAATATAATATTTGAACTTACAAGAACTGTGGATTCGTCGAGAAACCGCACGGCGACTAAAACTCCTGCGCAGAGGGCTAGGAAGAAGAAGATAGCCACCGCTGATGAAGACCGGAGAAGATGCTGTAATGGTATCCAGGCCGTCTCTATGAAATGTCGATGAAGTCCCCATCCATTTACCCTACTCTCTCTCATTAGTTTCTTCAACCTTCTACCTTAATTAGCTTGAATTGAATTGTTCAGTTCAATAGCTGCAGCTGGCTACTACCGTATCTACCGAGAGATATGGCTTAACAAAAAGCAGGCATGTTTTTCTACACAAATATGGATTCTTTAAATGCAAATAAAAATAATAATTCAAAGAGCATGTCACCTCACCTAACAAGCTAAGAGATTATTATTATTATTATTATTATTATTATTATTATTATTATTATTATTATTTTTAATCTAAGAAAGAAAACATTAAAGATCAACAGTTTGGGGAGCTACGCTGGCATAGTGTGAGATCCGCTAAAATTGGCGGCACAGAAGCCGGGTGTGCAGTGATAATACTATTCATTCATACACGCAATGCATGTATAAATAAAAAATGTCAATGCCCGGCAGCTCCGGCTTGATCAGCATTACATCGGCTGGGTGGTTGAGCCGGACACTGCTCACCCACCCGATTAGTGGAGGGTTAGGGAGCAATCTGCAGCAAAGTCCCTACGGGTGTTGGGGCGACCATTCAGAGGCGCACAGTCCTAAGGGACTTCAAGCTACCAGAGCACCCATCTTATGATGGATCTCGTGACCCTCACGACCACTTCATCAGCATTCAGGCTAAGATGCAAGTGGTCGAAGTCGAGGACCAGATAATTTTTAGGGCATTCTTTAATTTCTTACGTTGGCTGGCCTTGTGAAGCGTTGATTTTTTATTTTTATCACCCTGTTCGATTATCAGCTTTGAGTACTTAGCCGATCGATTATTAACACATTTTGCCGGGAGCATGCTGGAGCCCAAAAAGTACATTCCAGACTTAACTCGGGTAGATGAGTGAGAGAGCCTACGTATGAGTTATATTAATTGTTATGTTTATACTATATAGTTATTATTGTATGTTTAGAACTAGTCTTCTACTAATAACCTGTTAGATAGGAACAGTTAGAGATAGATTCAGATATACTCTCCTGTATTCCTATCTTTCTGTAATTGATTTTGGATTTTGAATTCTCATCTGGTATCAGCCTAAACACGATCCTCCACCGCAAAACACCTAACCCCCTCCTTACCCCACCCTTATGTCGTCGCATTCGTCCGAGAGGACTCCGTCTGCCGCCGCCGGCGGTTCCTCTCCGGCGACCGGAAATCCATTAGCAGGAGCCCATCATTTCATATCAATGAAATTAACCTCTAGGAACTTCTTATTTTGGAGAACTCAACTTCTCCCATTCCTTAGAGGTCAAGATCTCATCGGCTTTGTTGATGGTACTCACCCGTGTCCGCCGGCGTTCATCACCGAGACCTCCAGCGGCTCTGGCTCCGGCGCCACCACCTCGGCTCCATCAGTTCCGAACCCAGCACATAAGGCCTGGGTTCTCCAGGATCAGTCCATTCTGAGCCTCCTAATATTATCCATGTCCGACGAGGTGTTGCACCTAGCGGTTGGCCGGAATACCGCCGCTGAAGTCTGGAGATGCAACTCTCGGGTCCAATATGCAGGCACGCTGCTTGAGCCTGCTCAGACAATTCCAGGCGCTCCGGCAAGGGGCGTCGACGCCTTGTGATTATCTCGGCAAGGCGGAGCTACTGGTGGAAGCACTTGCACGCTCATCGACTGAAGCAGAATACAAAGCCTTAGCTGATGTGGCAGCTGAGGTTACTTGGGTTGTTTCCCTACTTCGAGAGTTAGGTCTTCACTCGGGGCAACCCTCTACTTTATGGTGTGATAACTTAGGAGCGACGTATCTTTGCGCTAATCCAGTTTTTCACGCCAGAACGAAGCATGTTGAAATCGACTATCATTTTGTCCGTGATAAGGTAGCCAGTGGTGACTTCGTGATTAATTTTGTGTCTACGAAGGATTAGCTTGCAGATATTCTCACTAAACCGCTGGCTGGGCCAAGATTTATTGCTCTACGCGACAAGCTCAGCGTTGTGTCTCTTACACCGTCAGCTTGAGGGGGTGTATGAGTTATATTAATTGTTATGTTTATACTATATAGTTATTATTGTATAGTTAGAACTAGTCTTCTACTAATAACCTGTTAGATAGGAACAGTTAGAGATAGACTCAGATATACTCTCCTGTATTCCTATCTTTCTGTAATTGATTTTGGATTTTGAATTCTCATCCTACGTAAGTACATAGCCCATTGACAGAAAGAGCCCTAAGCGATCAAGGGCTTGAATGACAAGACTGCACTGACTTTTTTCATGAGTCTTTGCACGCTAACGGACATTATAGCAAGTTGCGTCATGGGAATCCTAAAATTTATCACATGGTAGAAATTAAGATAAATTATTATTGCACAATATATAATTAATATTTTATTATCAATGCCCTTATTCCTTACATTCGTAGTTTGTCATATATACATATATACTTTAGGTGGTATAGGATCTGACAACTTGATTTATAATATTCATCATTAATGACAACAAATTCATTTATTATTAATCATGATTCCTGTCAATTATTTATAAAATTTTACTAATTAAGAGTGTTACGTAACTTTGAAAATATATATATATATATATATATATATATATATATATATATATATATATATATATATATATATATATATATATATATATATATATATATATATATAGAATTAGGTTCTGGTGTGGTTAGTGTGTCCAGGTGTGGTTGTGCGGTTTAATCTGGGTCATTCATCTCGCTTAAATCAACGTTCAGATTACCAAAATTTAAAAAAAAAAAAAAACGCGGTGGTAATTTTGTAATTTTTGCATCTAGGTCAAAATTAAGGTGAGCGAATCTGTGATTAATGTGCGTGAGTTTTGTATATAAGATGCGTGAGTTTTGTGCGTAAGGTGTGTGAGGTTTGTGCTTAATGTGCGTGGGGTTGTGCTTAATGTGAGTAGTTGTTAAAACTTAAAGTCTGTGAGTTAATACTTAAAGTGCGTGGGTTTTGTACTTAATGTGCGTGAGGTTGTGCTTAATGTGCGTTTGTTTTGTACTTAATGTGCGTGAGTTTGTGCTTAATGTCAGTAGTTGTTGAAATTTAAAGTCTGTGAGCTAATATTTAAAGTGCGTGAGTTTTGTGTTTAATGTGCGTGGGGTTGTGCTTAATGTGTGTGAGTTTTGTACTTAATATGCGTGAGTTTGTGCTTAAAATCTAACACTTAAGGTGCGTGTTTCTATCACTTAAGGTGCGCCATTTTTAGCTTATGCTTCTTTCTTCCAGACACGCGTTTTTTTTTTAAATTTTCATTGATTTGAGCCGTTGATCTAAATTTGATCAACGGTTCATATCTAACCGCACAACCGCACGGGAAGCTGTGACCTGAATTCTTCCCTATATATATATATATATATATATATATATATATATATATATATATATATATATATATATACATACATACATACATATATATGAGTGAGAGAGCCTACGTAACTACGTAAGTACATAGCCTATTGACAGAAAGAGCCCTAAGCGATCAAGGGCTTGAATAACAAGACTACACTGACTTTTTTCATCGAGTTTTTACACGCTAACGGACATTATAGCAAGTTGCGCCATAGGAATCCTAAAATTTATCACATGATAGAAATTAAGATAAATTATTATTGCACAATATATAATTAATATTTTATTATCAATGCCCTTATTCCTTACATTTGTAGTTTGTCATATATACATACTTTAGGTATAGGATCTGACAACTTGATTTATAATATTCATCATTAATGACAACAAATTCATTTATTATTAATCATGATTCCTGTTAATTATTTATAAAATTTTACTAATTAAGAGTGTTATGTAACTTTGAATATATATATATATATATATATATATATATATATATATATATATATATATATATATATATAGCATGAAATATTATATAAAATTTATATTTATGTTAAAAATATTAATAGTTTGAGTAGCTTAGTTGTTGATTGAATTTCAAATTTTATTTTATAAAAGACTTATGTCATGTGTTCAAATCTCATTAGCAACACTTTAATTATCTTCTCTCTTTCATTTCTTCACAAGATAATCTAAATATTTTTAGTCTGGTTTTTGAGGAGGAAGAAGAAACCAAGAAGAGAATAGTAGCAAAAACTGGATTGATTATGGGGCAGATCTTACTATTCATATCAATATATTATAAACCTTTCCATATTGCTTTGACTAGACCTCGTACAATAACTGCACTTGGATTTTTCTATCTTTTTTTCCAGATCATATCTATTTTGAATTGAAATTTTTTTATTCTATTTTAATAGAATATATTTTCATTTTAGATTTATATGAATTTTGAATATAAATATGAATTCTGAAATTCCATTTAATATTATCTTCAATTGTATCTTTGGCATTTTCTTATTTATTTATTATCAGTTTCAGTTAATGTGAATATAAATAGTTAAATCCCGACAAACTATTCGAGCTAAAATTGATTATTGTTCTTATCCAGTTCAAACTATCTAT